ATAATGTATCCAAGGAATTTCAGCTAGCTTTTTCTGATTCTGAATAGAAATATTCTCACTGTTGTCATTTTTCTTTAAGACTTCCTTGTTGCTTCCATGGAATTTTCGGTATCCGTCTGTAAAACCATATTTCTCTTTTCTGTAGTTTTTTTCCTCATCTGTGGGGAGATTGTCCAACATTCACTGCCATATAACAAGGATGAATATCCTGTATCAATCCACCACTTTTTTCTTTGTTTCTTGCAAACCTTTCCATTTCTCAGCATTTTGTTTAGAATTTGGAGGGCCTCTTTTACTAGTCCAATGTGTACTTCAGATTTCAGTGTCACGTTTCCCATCCTCTGTTTAAACACTTCCCAGATATTTCAACTTCTGCACCTGCTTGATGCCGATATCTCCAATTTGTAACTTGCATCTTGAGCTTTTCCTCTTGTTGATGACCTTGTGTCTTCTAGCTGTTGATGCTCTTTTTTCTCGCTTTCATCTACTACCTTTCCTCGAAGGCCTTGTAGTTTTTTTTTCTTACCAAGTTGGCGCCATCAACACAGTTTAAAACGGTTTCAAAGGTCATCATTAGCTTTTGTGCTTAAAAAAGTTAAAGCCAACATTATCATTTCAAGTAGTTGCAAGAGGTGGAATGGCAATCCAGCAGAAATACCTACCACATATACCTCCCCAAAATAATTTCTACATAATGGTAAGCTAGATGAAGACCCCATTGCCACTAATGCCTTACCATTATGTGGGAGGAATTTCTTGATGGTATATATGGGAGGTATTTCTGCTGCATCTTGTATTATATCTGACCTCCATTCCACTTGTAGCAAATTTTTGAAATGACACTTTTGGCTTTATTTTTTTTCAATACAAAAGTTAATCTTGAAAACCATTTTAAATTGTGAATTTTTTTATGTTTCCAATCTTTTCTTTAAGCCTTTTTTGCTATCAAAGCTCATTGTTTATTTTTAGAACTTGGAGGATAGTCGTACCTTGCCACTGTAAAATTTTGGGGTTATCTCCCCTTTGTTAATGTATATTATTTGTTGGGAATGTCAAAGATAAACAATCAAAGTTGCCTTGGAATGGAATAAATCATCAATTATTTTTTTTAGTAATGGCCAAAATACCCAAATCCAAACTTTGTTTGGTTTCAATGTTTTATTTATCTTATCATAATTTCTTTCCTAATAAAAGAAAGCACAATCCAGATTTGACTTGAGTTTTAGTAACATTATCCATGTATATATGTACAGATGATATTTTTTAAATAGGAATTCCTATGTTTTGACAAAGTTTGAATCAACATTTTTCATTCTTTTAAGGTTCTTACATATTTGTTCTTATTCTTTTCTGACTTGAATCGGACATTTACTTAGGGGTTTAATTATACATAGACTTAATCAGTCATCAAGTGTTTCATTAATTCTTGAACACAATATGTTTTCTTGATTTTTTAATGCTTTCCTATAGGTGAAGTTGGTCTAGTCATAGGTATCTGCACTTAATGACTGAGATGTCATGTCAGCTCAACCCTGCACCTGGCGTCTCCAAATCAAGGGAGCACAAAATCAGTTCTAGCATGATCTGGAGTGAGAAGATTTAAAAGCTATGCAATAACATCATTGTCTTCCCTTATATATATATATATATATATATATATATATATATATATATATATATATATTTATATATATATATATTTGATAAAATATAGTTTTAAGATATGCTATATTTATGGGTTAAAGAGCTCAATATCAGGGATAGAGTATATGTAAATATAAAAGTGGACATTGAAGTCAACACCCAGAGGCAACAGTCTGTTTCATGCTAAACACAAATGTCAGCCATGTAAAAATTTGTCAAAATGCATGCATGAACTCAATTTTTTACAGTTACTTAAAAACCAAAAACAGACAGAAATGAATGAAAATAAATAAAATAAGATGGATAAACAAAAACTAGTAAACTGAATTAATCCAAATAAATAAATAAATAAACTAAGGAAATTATAAACAAATTAACAAACCACATATGCACAGATAAACATAAGAAATAAAATAATCAATAATAAATAATAAATAAAAAAGTTAACTAACAACACTATAAGTAGCCAAAAAACTGCATTCAGATCCACAATTATTCCCACTCAATAATTTAAAACATTACTGTCCATCAAAATAAACATTATAATAATACAATAGACTACCCGCAATGCAATACAATATATTATACACAATGCATCACTGACCTGTATATATAAATAGTTGAGCAAAAACATTATGCACATGGCCTGACCAATGCATTTAGCACGAGACAGACTGTTGCCTCTAGGTGTTGACTTCAATGTCCACAGGAAAATTTTGTTAGAAAGAAAAAAAAACAATGCTGAACTGTTATTAATATAAAATGCCAGTGAAACTGTTATAAAAAATAAAGGCAATAAACCCTCTATGTATGGAACATAATGGAAAAATGGAGGATGGAATGAAAAAGATAACTGAAATTTCTTGGGCAGAAGGAGGATTTGTGTGAAACTCACAGGGACATATTGAGGGCAACAGAGACAGTAGAAACTATATGTTTGATGACCCTATATGAATGGATGGAGGAATGAAAGTGGAGATTTTGGCAAAGGGTTAATGCTGTTCAGGTCTACAAGAGAGAGGAGGTTGTGGAGAGGCATGATTGCTCACCTCCTGAAAGAACACGGCAGATAGAAGAAGGAGAATCAAATGCTTATCCAAGAGAATATTAATAAATAAGTGATACATCTGAAATGAAATAATTTTTCAATATTGATTATTGAGAATTACATCTCAACTTCATGAGTGATCTCCTAATATTGGAATTCAGAATTTATTAATCACTTTCAGGATACAAGAAACATCTGAATCCACCTACTCATCATCAGATAAACTGTTTTGACTTCCATTCTAACACAGTGACAAACAAAAGAGATTATTAGCTAAAAATTAAGATATGAATAAAGACAAAAAATAACATGTTTGGCAATGTATCTTCAAGAATAATATTTGTGATCATTCTGGATTTTGGAGTAAGTTGTCACATTGACAATGACACAGTACAAAAGGCAAAATAGATCTGACTGCAAGGTAATACTGAAAATAGGCTATTGTGAGAACTCTTTTTGCCTTCAATCAATATGGCTCATGCTAACCTCCAGGAGAGTGACTCATTGCACCTTCTCAGACTAACAATTTCTACTGGCATGAAGTGGAAATTTCATCAATTCCTAATCCTGCTGCTAGGAACGTTGGATCACTGTGTCATGCTAGACAATTTTTCTTGACAGAATCTAGCTTTCATATTTATGTCTACCTCTTCTGCCCATTAAATATTGCTGTCACACATGGCCTGATGCTACTGTTATGTATTTAGAGGTTCTTGATAAAATCCAAAGAAGAATCTGCAATGTTATTGATTCTAACATGGCATCTCAGCTTCAGTTCCTTTCCCACTACCGTAACATAGCTTCACTGTGCCTTTTCTATAAACACTTTCAAAATAATTGCTCTAATGAGATTTCTTCTTTGGTACGGAGAGTTTATAAATTTAAGTTCTCTACTAGATTGGTGGCAAGGTCTCATCATTTTACAGTTGAAATGGCTAAATGTAGCCATTAATTCTATGCTAAGAGTTTCTTCTCTCACACTTCTCATTTGTGGAACTCTCTTCTGGCTTCTTGCTTCCCAGTTAACTTTGACCTTCTTAATTCCTTTTCTCTTATTTTTCTTTTTTCTTAATAATGTTTTTTTCTTTCTCATATTCTCTCACACTCAGTAACCCCTTAGATCTTAGTTTTATTGTGTTGCTTGAGTTGAAATGATTAAAAATAAAATATAAATAAAAATAAAAATGCATATGACAAATAAGCATTGTTCCAGGGTCATGTTGGGTTGGGTCAAGTTTCCGAACAGAAATACAATGAAATAGAAATATAATAGTAGTGGAACTTGTATTTGGTACTTCCTATTCCGTTATTGTTCTCTCTCCTTAATAGCGCTTTTTCTTTTTTATATTCCCTACCCCCACCTTTTATCTTAGTGGCTTTATTGCCTTTCTTCAAAAAGAGCTTAAAATTTACAAGCTATTTGACCACTGACTCACCACATGTTAAACATATTCACAAATTAAGAATTAATTAAAAATTTTTTTAAATAAGTTTTATAAACATGGGATAAAATAAATAATTATGCCAAATAAATCTCTTCTAATTTCCTCTTATTTTTCTCTTCTTTTTTCCTCTTCTTCTCTTTTTGTTCTCTTCTTCTTTCCTCTTTTTCCTGTTCTCGTTTTCTACTTTCCTCTTCTTCTTTTCTTCTTTCCTCTTCTTCTCCTCTTCTTGTTCTTTTCTTCTTCTCCTTTTCTTCTTTCCTCTTCTCTTCTGGTTCTCTACTTCGTTCCTCTTCTTCTTGTTCTCTTCTTTCCTCTTTTTGTTTTCTTCATTCCTCTATTTGAATATATATGGATAGTTAAAAAAAAAAAGGGAAATAAAACATTTATGTACTTAGCTATAGTGCATCAAGGAAGTGCCAAGTGGAGGTATGAAATTAAGAAGTCTGCTGCCCAGGGACTGTGTAATGCCTGGTGAGTGTCTACTGAGAACGGAATAATTTTGTTGTTAATATGACATTGCAAAACACAGCTATTCAGGACACAAAGAAAGAAAAGAAAAAGAAAAGAAAGAAAGGGAAGAAAAGAAAGAAAAAGAAAACGATAACAAAAAAAGAAAGAAAGAAAGAAAGAAAGAAAACGATAACAGGGGAGAGAATCAAAAAAAGAAAGAAAGAAAGAAAGAAAACGATAACAGGGGAGAGAAACAAAAAAAGAAAGAAAGAAAGAAAGAAAGAAAACGATAACAGGGGAGAGAATCAAAAAAAGAAAGAAAGAAAGAAAGAATGCAGAGATAATCCAAATAATGAAATAAAGATACAATAGAAAGAGAATCCAAAGAAAGAATGATAGAATAGAAAGAGAATCTAAGAAAAGATAGATAGGTAGAAGAGAGAGAGAGAGCAAAGAAAAAAGAAGAAAGAATGCAGAGAGAATCCAAAGGAAGAAAGATAAATACATAAGAAGATAGCTGGAAAAAGAATCCCAAAAGGAAGACAGCTGGATCCCAAAGAAAAGAAAGAGGTAGAAAGAGAAAGAGGGCTGAAGAGAGAATCTATAGATAAGGAAAAGAAAGGGATGGAGAAAAAGAATCCAAAAGAAAAGAAAGAGGAAAGAGGAAGACAGATAGGACAGGAAAAAGAATCTGGAGAAAAATCCAAAGAGGTAGGGCTGAGAAGATAAGGACAGGAAAGAAGGGCTGAAAAAAAAGAATCTATAGATAAGGACAGGAGGTAGAAAGAGGAAGATAGCTGGAGAAAAAGAATCCAAAGAAAAACAAAGATAGAAAGAGGAAGAGAGCTGAAGAGACAGAACCAAAGAAAATAAGGAAGATGAACAAAAAGAAGAAAATAACTGGAGAGAAAATCCAAAGAAAGAAAGGCAAATAGAAAGAGGAAGATAGACAGAGTGAGAATCCAAAGAAATAGAGGGAGATAGAAAGATAGAAAAATGTGGAAAACACTGCCTGAAAGGTGGTGGGTCCGATTAACAGGGTGCATTTTCTGGAGAATTGTGATTAATGCCTCTTTGATACTTGTTCTGTAATAGAATATCTTCTCCCCAAAATATCAGAACAACTTTAGGGTCTTCATAATCAACATTCTTGAAGTCTAGCAATTTGCTGTTCAATGTTGTTTGCCAAGGTAGAATGTAGAGTCTCTAAAACAATGATTTGCTCTCTGCTAAGATTTATGCTTTTATGCCAGAATAATTCAGCAAAACGGAAATCATTTGAGGCAGAAGATAGATTACCTGCATCAATAAATCTCTAATAAAGATCACAGGCAGCTAAAGATTGGACAGAGCACAATCTCAATTGTCTACTTGGAACATGTCCTTGACAAAAAGAAAAAGTTACAAAATTTCATAAGTGCTTTTTTGTTGGAATTTTCAAAAAAATATATCTTCAAATAATATCTGTTTATCTCCATTTTGTTTTCTTTTCCATTCAATTTATTGAAAAAAATTCCTCCAAATTTTTTTTCCCTATTGCTAAGCCATGAATAAAGTCAAAAAATATCCTGTTCTCAAATTACTATTATCTCATATATAAAGTTCGAATTTATATCTGTCCACCAGAAAATTAAACACATATAAAGTTGGTTATCTGTCTGCAGATAATATATTAAAATGAGATATGAACTAGATGCAGTTTTATCATTTACAGATAGCAGTATATGTCTTATATTTAATAACATATCTTATATATTACCCAACTTATCATTTCTTGAATAATTGATTGTTTACTATGGCGTATCAACTCTTTGCAGGTTATTTAAAGCCAGAAAATATTTTTAGATTGTAAGAATTGGGTGTGGGGCATAAATAATAATGATTTAGTGATACAAGTCTTACTAATTAGCCCATAGCTAGAGGGAGAAGAGGTGGATTCATACTGTTCCCAATGATATTTGTGTGCAAGTGGACAAAATCAACTAGAACTTGACTTTCCGACAATTCTGAGCCATTATCCATTACTCCACTCATATATCCAAGCTTACAACACCTGGTATACCCATGTGGCCACCCACTTAGGTACTGACCAAGCTCAACATTGCTTAACTTTGGTGATCATACGGGAACAAGAGTTTCAATATGAAGTGGCCATAACCTTCTTGATTAATGAAGGTAACTAATTTGCATATTCAGGTTTAAAAATCAGATTTTTAAAAAGCAACTGTTTTTTGTTATTCATTTTCAATTGGAAAGTGACTGAATATGAGATGCCAGATCAAGCCCAATAATATTGCTGATTCTTCTTTGGATTTTATCAAGGAGCTCTAGATAAATATCAGGCAAACTGTACCATATATGACAGCAATATTCAAAGCATGGATGAATGGTAGATGTATAGATATGTAAGGTAGATTCTGGCAATAAAAATTGTCTAGCATGACACAGTGAACCAACTTTCTTAGCAGCTGAAATAGCAATGGATTCATTATAATCGTTCCACTTCATATAAGACGAGAACGTTATCTTGAGAAGGTGCAATGAGTCACTCTTTTGGAGGTTAGCTGCAGCCATGCTGATTGGAAGGCAGAAAGGGGTCTCTCAGATAATTAATGGAGAGCAATTTAGTTTTGGAATCATTATAATTAACAAGCCATGCTTTGCCCCAGTTAATAACAGACTGAAGGTTGTTTTAGACATGAGCTGCTATATGACTTTATCGAAATGATCAGACTTGCTATTGAGACAGTTGTAAATTTTTCTCATGAGAAAAATGCCATTTCTTCATAAATCAGTGTACAAAAATGTGCATGTATATTAACTCTTTAGCCCAGCTTTAGTTATTTACATTGTCATTTGCAGATTGCACACTGGAACTGTTCATCTTTCTAGGACAGTGACTGAAATATATCTCTGCATATGTTGGAATGTCTGGTCAAACCACCAGCTGTCTTATATACTAAGCCACACATATGACAGGTATGCTGTGGTGGATGTTGTGGCAAAACTTTCTTGCAAGCGGCTTCATTCCATATTGGCCCATGCGACTTGGTGGTTTACCAAACCTGCTCTTGAGCAAAGGCAGCCCCCACCCCACATATATTACTATTCAATTCCTGTTGGATGTCTGCAGGCACTGTGCTTGTATCTTGCTTTTGGAGTGAATGGCCTCAATGTAGCATGTGCCACCCACATGCAAAATCTCCACATCTATCTTAAATGAGCTTCCTTCAAGTTGTATAGTTCTTGGTCAATTTTTCCCAGGTGTCAACATCAATCTTACAGGGATTTAAAGTTACCTTTTTGTAAAATCATTAAACTGATATTATATGAAAATAATATCCTATTGGCTTTTTTTTTTCATTTATTTGCACATTTGCATGAACTGTTTCATTTGTTGTTAATGGAGACTGATTAAATATGACAAGAAACTTATTCAGTTTTCTTACTCACTTCAACATTGTCATTAAAGAGCTTCAAGCTTGGCTCAAATCTCCAGTTTCATCTAATGCATTTTGGATGACTCCAAGAGCAAAAATTATGCATATCTATAACATTGAGTGTCATGTCCCAGAGCTTTTTTTAAGTCCCAAGAAAAGATCTTTGCACATATCTGTTATTTTTTTCATTAATATATATATAGACAGTGAAAGAGACAGACAGACAGACAAAGAGAGTGAGAAGAGATAGAAAGAGAGAGAGAGAGACTGAGAAACATTGACAGAATCAAATAGACAGAGACAGCAATGTATGGACACAGAAATCAACACAGCTTGATGGTCTGAAGAGTTTTATATATATATATATATATATATATATATATATATATACACATAAACAGCATAACAAAAAGTGCCAAAAACTTTCTGTCACCGAAATAGACAAGACAATATGTGTTGAACGGATGTCGTCATTCGTTTGAAAATAGGCACCCCGAACCTACCTTGACTTAAACTGTTTTCAAAAGTAATCAAAAGTAACTAATATGTTGATACAATAGTTGTCAGTAAAAATATAAATCCTACTACCCCTTATTAAAATGATTGGTTTTCTCTGTTTCCATAGAAATTAGTATTACGAATGTATATGCTTATAAAGCTCTGTAAATTTCAAAATTTGTTATTCCAAAATTCGCTTGAGGAGGAAACAGAACTAGGTACTTTAATTTAATTTAATTTCTATAATTAAATCAAAGTTTTTAGCTTCTATTTTTTTGAAACATGAGAACTCTTATGTAGCGATAGAATCATATTTTTTTTAAAATAATTATAATGTAGGCTCTACTTGTGTATTGAGCACTGTTTTTTAAATATAAAACAAAAATACTAAAGAACTTCAGATTATTAACCTAACGGTACTTTCCTAATTTTCAATATATTTAAACACACACACACACACACACACACACACACACACACACACACACATATATATATATATATATAATTAGGTAGTAATCATTCTTCTAAACATTTATTATTAAAAGGATAGACATTCTAGGTCTATTAAATTTATCAATTATATATATACATATATTCGTCAGACCTGACAATTGCATTTAGCTGGAAGCTGTAATATGAATATTTTAGATTGTGTCAGCATCAATCTGAGGACAGTGCAGAGGTTTCAGAAAGAGTTGGACGAATCTAATGGTGATTACAAAGACATGGCAGCTCAAAAAGCTCACACTAATCATTCTGATAAGAAAATTACTCGTGAATTTGTTGTTGAGAGCCTCATACTTAACACGGATGTATACATTAAGTGACTTGAGAAGGTAGTGCTGCCTTGGGTCAAGATGGTAGCTGCTGGAAGACCCTATGTTTGGCAACAGGACTCTGCACCATGTCACACAAACAGGAGAATCCAGTCATGGCTGTCAGACAATTTTTGCAACCACATCATCCCTTACATCTGGCCACCTAACTCCCCAGACCTCAACCTCATGTAAATTTCAGAAATAAGTTATTCCAAGAAAAATTTCACTTGAAGATGGAACTTTAATTCAATTTAATTCAAATAATTATATTGAGTTTTTTCGGCTCTTGTTTTGAAACATGAGAACTCTTATGTAGCATGTTGGAATCATATTTTAAATAAATAATTATATTTATGCTCTACTTTTGTATCGAGCACTATTTTTTAAAATAATAACAAAAATACTAAAGAACTTTGGATTATTTACCTAACCAGTTCTTTCCTATTTTCTATATTTTCACACACATATATATATATATATATATATATATATATATATATGTATGTATATACATATGGGAAAACAATATATTATAATTATTATCTTTTTTAAAAATATGACTCCATCGCGACAGAGAAATTTAATTATAAAACTTAAACTTAAAATCCAGAGTTTCTTTCCATTGTCAAGCGATGCTTGGAATAACTTTCTAAAAATAATATATAAATTTTTACATATCAGAACACTTTTAGGAAAATCTTCTCCTTCATGGATATGTGTAGTCACATCAACATAAACATAACTTTACTTCAATGATATCCTAAAGAATGAAATGTGTCAGATGAAAATTTTTTAGACATTGTCATAGATTTTCCTATATATATATATATATATATATATATATATATGTAGAGAGAGAGAGAAAGAGAGAGAAAGAGGTGGGGAGATACAGATAGACACACAGAAAATGAGACAAAGGGAGTGACAGAGACAGAAGAGGATGATAAAGATAGAGAAGATATGATTATATATATATATATATACCTATATAAAAAAAAATGTGGACTCTATTTTATTGCTGAAATTAGCATCTCCCCTTTTAGCGACCTATTCATGATGAGTTCAATCCTAACTAGAAACAGAGGCCACTGAGTCCTTGTAGTGAGTTTAGCTTTATAATCTGAAACAAATAAATATATGTATGCCTACATTCCAATTTATTGATTATTTTAAGAGATTATATGTAAATCCTTAGTCTCTTATTGCCCCAGTTAAGGATTTGTGGAGATACATTTGGGTACAATTGACCAGTTAATCCACTTCTCTCACATCCAACCTTGATTTCACTTTTTAAAAATATGTCAGTTATTATTAGCCATGTAATTTTTATTTCTTTATTTTTTAATGTAATTATTATTTATTTCTATTTATTCTATTTTATTTTGTTTAATTATGTACAGAATAGTTCATCTATTCTAAAAAAATAATTATTTATGTAATAGTTTATTTATTCTAAAAATTAAAATGTTTTGATTTTTAAAATTTTTTGTGGTCATGTTGACTTGAGAATGGAGTATTTCTTTTAAGAAGGGAGATATTTGAAATCTGACTCTTCCTACCATGCTTTATCTCTAAAAAAGCTAGATCAGACCAGCAATATCTGGACAAGAGCTGCCCAATCTGCACTTTCCAGCCATGAAAGAACTCAAAAGCATTTGCACTGCCTTGCAGGTGATGAATTGTCTTCTACCCTCCAGCCTCTTATCCAGAACTGTTGCAATGTGGAACAAACTCACAATGGGTTGCTTTTCTGATCACTATTAACCTATTCAACTTTAGATTCAACCCTTATATATCCAACATAACCTCATAATTTTCAAACCTTACTCTCTCTCATATAACCTTACAATGTCCCCATTCAGTAACCCTCTACTTTGAGTGCCACTTAAACCTTGTATTGAATTAACAATAATGAAAAACAGGCACTCTTACCTTGATTCAAAAAACAAAGCTGAACGGTAAAAATCTTTGAAATTCAATTTTCTTCTTAGTCTTACTAAAATTATGGTGTCTCTATGTGCCCCAGTTGATAAGAATGATGTGGTGTCTTTTCTAAAATGCTTATTAGTTTGTTCGTTTTCATTTAATGTATGTGTGTGGGTGTGTGCAAAGGATGTGTAGGTAGTGTAATGTTTAGAGGGCCAGAAAAGAAATTGGCAAGGTAAGTTCAAAATATGTTCAATTCTGTTTCATTTAGCTCATAATAATATCCTTGGAAAAGGCACAGAACCATATTTCTTTAGTTATGTATTAAATAGTAGGGCAGACTGAGTTCTCTTGTCTTGATTGGCCACTATTCCAGGAGAAGGAAAACTGAATTCAAAATCAGCCTGAAAAGGGAGAGGTCCCATCAGACTATCTTGCCCAAGAGGTTTCTTTCAGACTCGATGAATT